TTTAAGGTCCTCTATTATTTTCATAATGTTCCATTTTATGTGGATTTCTTCTATTTCTTCTGGAGTAGGGTGTTCAATTCTTCCTGTTTCGTGATTCCTGGATTCTGGTGATATCATGTTTCCTTTCAGGTTGTTGAAGGAATTCTTGCATTGGTGCCTGCCCATCTCTTCCTTCAAATGGAGCCAGGAGAGTCTCCGTGTCTTGGTCCAATCTTTGCTCTCTGGGTGGATCTCCTCAGTGCAGGAGCAGGAACTGTTCCTGTCTGGATAGAACTCCTCAGCACAGAAACAGAGTCTCCTGGTAGTCCAAGGACCCTGCAGACAAAAGGGTGAATGTGGGGGGAGGGCTAAGAAAGGGAAACACAGAAGACCCTGCAGCAGAAGCTGAAGGTGCCCTGCACTCCCTTGTAGGGACCTTCCGGCCTGCCTGGCTGGCAGAACCTCACCCCTCTGGGTGGATAGTTTTAGTGCAGGAGCAGGAACTGTTCCTAGGCCAAGGACCTTGCAGACAATAGGGGAGGCTTGGGGGAGGCAGGGTCGTGTGTAATAAAGAAGCCCCTGCAGCAAGAGCTGGGGGAGGGGGGGCTGTGCTCCCTTCCAGGACAGTCCACTGGGGATGGCACACTCTCACCCGTCTGGAAGGAACTCCTGAGCTCTGAAATAGGGTCTTCTGTTAGTCCAAAGACCCCATAGACAAAAGGGCCCACAGGTGTGTTTTTGCAGAGCTGGGGTTGAGGCTAGGGGATTTGTATCAAGTGGAACGGAGAGAGAAATAAGATCTGTAGGCAGCTACTTAGTTTTCCTTTAAGTAACATTTAAGTTTTAAGAAACATTAAAATTTAAGATTTTAAATAATATTAAAAACAAATTTTAGAACACTTAAATTCATAATTTGCTGCTACTCGAATTTATGTATATGTGCATATGTACATTTTTAAATTATGAAACATTTTCATAGATTTTCAGCAAATTATTGGGAAAAATGACATATGATATTTAATTTTAGTTATTTATTTGCATTGTAGTAAGTATAAATCAGAAATATTTGCTTCATAACAAACCTTTGTTGTCTCCCCATTTCTATGGGCCATATTTGAAGATGATTGGGTATACTATATTTGCATCCGTGTGGTGCTATCAGAGACTGCCGTGGCTGTCAGTTATCATGAGCTTTGGCTGGACATTAGACTCTATGTCACACTCACATGGCTTTGGCAAAAGGCTTCAGTTCCTTACGTATTAACCTCCGCATAGATTGCTTGATATCACCTCACTTATTAGAGAGTCACTAAACCAAGAGACCCTGGATGCCCAGAGCCCGTCTATGATCTACTCACAATTGTTTTGGACATGGTAGTTCTTTACGTTCTTAGCCCTACTCACACATGAATAGGAAAATTATGCTACCTTCATTGGAGACAGTTGCTTTGAAGGATTTCAATGGCTTCTTAAAACACATGCATCAGTGTCAATTGAGTCAAGACATTTTATTTCAGTGTACTTCTTCCTTTCTTTTCAGGTTCTTGCCTATCTGAATTCATATTCCTTTCTTCCTGTCTAGAAGACATTGATAAATGTATATCATACCTAAGCTTGGTATCCCTTCAGCCAAACAAACAAAACCTACAGTGGAAAAAGAGTGGTCAAGGATCTCTTCTTAGTCACTTTTTGTCTCTGTGTCAATATTACTGAAGCAATAAGTTAGAATAGGGCCTTATTTAGAGTTTTGGTGCCTTTGGTGACTTGGGTTCATTGTCAGCTAGTCCCACCATTTTAAGCCTGTGACAGACATAGCATTTTCTCAAGGAATGAGTGCTAAAGCAAAGCTGCTTCCCTCCTGCCCACCAGAAAACAAAGCTATAAAAGAATGACCAAGGTCCCAGTAGCCCTTCATTGCACAGCACCAATGATCTGACTTATTTTAACCATGCTAGCAACTTCTGAACATTACACCCTCTCCCAAAAATCACCAGCAATGAGAAACCAAGATTCCACTAAAGTGAGACTTTGAGATACATGAGATCCAAACCATAATAAGAATGAAAGATGCTATTTTTGGTAAGATATGTATTGATTGTATGAGAATTGATGTATGATAATTGTAAGGGAAAATTAATGTTCTTTTAATATTTTATTTTTTAACTTATTTATTTGACAATTTCTTACGTGTATATAAAATATTCTGGATATCCATCCCCTTATTTTTTCACATTACAACTTTACCAAAAATACCTTATATTTGCATGTCTTCTCCCTAGATTCCCAAGTTTGGGATCTGATAAATGGTACATATAGTTTAATGAAGGGCATATGTGCAATAGTTGAATTGCTACTGAATTTTTGAAGCTACTGTAGTCACTAGTGGGAATACACATAAAATCAATGACACCCATGTTTTTGTTTTTGTTTTCTGGTTTTTTTAAATTATATTTATTTATTTATTAAAGATTTCTGTCTCTTCCCCGCCACAGCCTCCCATTTCCCCCCCCCTCCCCCAATCAAGTCCCCCTCCCTCGTCAGCCCAAAGAGCATTGAGGGTTCCCTGCCCTGTGGGAAGTCCAAGGACCACCCATCTCCATCCAGGTCTAGTAAGGTGAGCATCCAAACTGCCTAGGCTCCCACAATGTTAGTACGTGCAGTAGGATCAAAAACCCATTGCCATTGTTCTTGAGTTCTCAGTAATCTTCATTGTCCCCTATGTTCAGCAAGTCCGGTTTTATCCCAGGCTTTTTCAGACCCAGGTCAGCTGGCCTTGGTGAGTTCCCAATAGAACATCCCCATTGTCTCAGTGTGTGGGTGCACCCCTCGCTGTCCTGAGTTCCTTGCTCGTGCTCTCTCTCCTTCTGCTCCTGATTTGGACCTTGATATTTATGTCTGGTGCTCCAATGTGGGTCTCTGTCTCTGTCTCCTTTCATCGCCTGATGAAGGTTAATATTCAGGAGGATGCCTATATGTTTTTCTTTGGGTTCTCCTTCTTATTTTTTCTCTAGGATCACGAATTATAGGTTCAATGTCCTTTATTTGTTTGTTTGTTTGTTTGTTTTTGTTTTTGTTTTCTGAATCAATCAGATGAAATTGTTCAGAGGTAGGGCTAGAGTTCCCAGAGCTTACTCCATTCATGCCTGGTTGTTGATGGGTCATTCTTGATAGACTCAGTACAGACACCTGTAGATGCTGACCTGTTGATGTAGCTTGTGATTATAATGGCTCTGAATAGTCCTGAAGATATTTCACAGTCATGATGAGTACATTCTGGCTCCTAGAATCTTTGTGCCCTTCCATCCACATGCTCCTTGAACTTTTGAGGGATGGTGTAAATGTCTTGTTTAATGATGAGTGCACTCTCACTACTCCCCGTACCTTGGGCATTAACAAGGCTCTATATTCATCACAATTTATTGGAAAAGAGAAGCATCTCTGTTTGATGCTGACAGTGTTGATTATGCAAAATATGAACATATATATTTAGAAGATTGTTCAGTGTCATGTCAATTTATCACAATAACAGAATTAAATTCCCCCAGGATCTCATGAAATCCCTGCCATAGGCTTTTGAGTACATTTACAATTACATTTGTGGAATCTGAGTAGTTCAGTGAACCTCAAACCCAAAATCCACAATATAGATCTTCCCAAAGATTCCAGGATTGTCTGTGAACTGATATCTGAATTTGAGTTTTTTTCCAACAGAATTTCTGGTGTTTCACTGAGTAAAATAAAGATGGCAAATCTCATTGTAATCTTATTAAATACATTTTTTTTATTTAAAATGTATAGTGCTCTCTTCTCAGGCCTGTTCAATTACTCATCTCTTTCATCAAATTGTTTTTTGCTCTGGGGAAAATACAGAAAATTCAAAACTGAATTAATACAGCAGATGATAAACATGAATTTCATTAGGAGGGAGTCTACAAATTGATCTTGTGTGCTAAGTTGAATCTGAAGAAGGATGAAATTTGACAATAAAAATTAGGAGTTCCTGAGACACATCAAAAAATGAACTATGTAATACTTATTTAAAACAGGTGAAAGTAAGTAAATATATTAATTAATGTTGTGAGCAGCCTGAATTAAAACTGTGGTGGGCCAACCATCACTGCTGATGGGGCCACAACCTGCCTCTGTAAAAGTATAATATTTAAATGGGGCAGCTATAAGTACTGACTACCTCTACTGGTCATTCACTTTGAGGAATATTAGATTTGTTTTGAGGAATCATTTATAAAAGGGAAAAACACAGATTCATAACTGCCCACATGAGAATTAAGATTATGTAAGAGGCAGAGGAATGTGTCTATAAGTTTAAAATATCCCTATTTAAAATCATGTCCCCTTTTAGAACCCTTTATAAAGAAATCTCAGTGAGCTAATTTAGGTTCTTGATGTCCGATGAAAAGCAAAATTCTAAAATTTTAAAAAAGAACACTCAAGATAAAAAGAATTTAAACTCATAAGCTATGTAAAAATGTGAGTGTGTGTGAATGAACAAGGAAGCTATGAGATTTCTGTGTTTTGTCATGCATTGGATAAATTCTTTTAACATACCGCATGAGGATCCCTGAAGTAAAATCATACTTCATAGAAAAGTTAATACTTTTCTGATATTATTTATAAAAAATAGCATGAAGAGAAAAAATTAGCATTACCTATAAATTTATTAATACAAAGATCAATATAGTACTTCAATATGAAGTTATAAGAATAGTTCACTTTGATTTAATTGAATTAGGTTTCAGTTCTGATAAAAATTATAAATAAGCAATTATCACATTGGATATTAACAAATATTCCTGACCCACTTCTCTGGTAACATGTCAGGCATAACCTGAAATCATGAGAAAAGACCTCCTCACATACTTCAGTAGTCTGGATTCTATTCAACTCCTTCTTCAGGACACTCTCTAGACTTGCAGTTATTGTAATTAATAGAAACTAATTTACTGGTCAAGTGGTTTATCTCTGATATGAGTGTTTCTCTGTCATTTTGTTTTTATTGCAAGGTCAACATTGTGATTTTCCACAAATCAAAAATGGAGGTCTATATGAGAAAAAGGAACAAAAACCCGACCTCCCAGTAGCTACAGAAAAGTCATTTGAATATTACTGCAACAGAGGATTTTTGCCTCCTTCAAGGACATACTGGGACAGAATTCACTGCACTGCACGAGGGTGGGAGCCAGCAGTCCCATGCCGCAGTAAGTCAATGTCTGTATTAAATCATGTTTAATTATATCAAAGAATGGAAAGAGAAGAGCACATATGTAATTACAGTTAAGTCTCTCATAAGAAAATAAGAAACAGAAAAATTTGTGAACAAAAATGACTAGTTTCTGTCTTGTGAGCATCTTTTCATGAAATGAATGTGAAAAATGAGGACTATGAGATTATCTTCATTGCTTGCATGTTTTCTTCATAAAATCTAAAGATAAGTGCTACTTCTTGAAACTTTTGATATTGGTTTTATTGTTGATGTCACACATTCTTATTTAACTATTATAGATAAACCATAGTTTTTTTTAAAAAAAATGAATGTTGTTTCTTTTTAATTTAATATTTATGGTTAATTTATGGTCCTTAGGGCTATGTGGCATCTATCATATAGAGAATGGGGAAATTCTACAACAGAAAGGAAACTACATACAAGACGAGTCTGTAAGTGTCGAGTGTTGCCCTGGCTACAGTCTTCCAAATGATCAGGACACTATTACATGTACAGAGAATGGCTGGTCTCCTGAACCCAAATGCATCCGTGTCAGTAAGTAACCGGCTCTGAGATCATCAGATACTCTTGACTCCCTGTCCCATCTATATTAACTGTGTCAAATATTTCTTTCCAAGTGCGTATGAGTTAAATCTTAGGATTCTTGGTAAGTATATAGCAAAGTAAACACAAATATCAGACATTAAAACAAAATACTGAGTAAATTTTCATTTAATATATAGTACTCTATACTTTGCTATCACAATAACTATAAAAATATAGTTTAAAAATAACAAATATAATAACAGCTATACACATCATTCATATATTCAAATAGTGACATGTCATTTTAAAGTACTGATATTGTTGCTGAATTTTCCATGATGTGTAGCTGGGAAGGAAATTTTGAGGTATTGTGTATTATCTGGCTTTCATGTTTTCTCTAATCTCTGTGCTAATACGTTTGTACTGACAGTTACTTCATGTTCTATGTTCTTGTAAATGACTGTGTAAAGTCATACTTTATTTTCAAAATAAATGTCTCTAAAATGATAAACATAATAGTGCTGATTTGAATTCCTTTCATTATCATTTGTGTTTTAAAAATATAATTCTAAGTCAATTTTCAGTCAAGAATTTTAATTTTTTAAGTACAGTATTTTTAAATAAATGCACTTGTAATTAGTTTGCTGCAGTATTAAGAATTCTAAAAGTTAGTTTGTTTGATTTGCATGTACTCTTTATTTAATATAGATTTTCAACTTCTTTTAAACAACCTTTGTTAGATTTCTTGAATTTTCAGAAAAATTTTGAAATAATTACATAAGCATATTGACTATTCATATTTATTAATGCAATATATTTAAAAGTTTTTGAATGTTTGTCAACTGTGCTCTGTTGTACTATTTTGCTGATGAGATATTTTGCTAGCATTATTTTTTGATACTGTTCATTATGTATTTAATCTCTAAGAAATTTTATCTTCATTGATTTAAAATTTTATTTGAATAATGTTAATGACCTGCTTAAAATTTCTACTGAGTTTTTGCCCGGCAGTCTTGTCTACTTCCCATTGAGAAGCTAAGGACAATGGCACTAGGTTTCGATCCTAGTACATGATCTGGCTTTGTGGGAGCCTAGCCTGTTTGGATGCTCACCTTCCTGGACCTGGATAGAAGTGGGAGGATCATGGACTTCCCGCAGGGCAGGGAATCTGGACTGCTATTCATTCTTGAGAGGGAGGGGGAATGGAGTGGGGGGGGAGAGGGGGAGGGGAGTGCGGGAAGGGGACAATGTGTGGGAGGAGGGGAAGGAAAATGGGAAATGGGGAGGAGGTGGAATTTTTTTTTCAACAACTAAAAAAAATAAACAAAAATAATAATAATAATAAAAAGAAAAAAATTTCTACTGAGTTATTTGATAGCTTTTCCACCATGCTGGTTTTGCTCATTTTTTGATTTTTTTGATTTTTTCTAGTGTCTTTGTTAATAGTGCTGATCTATATGAAAACAATGATTCTTAATATTTCTGTGACTTTTCATTTTATAAAAGTTCTATCCAGGTAAATTGCTATAACATTGATATTATTCAAATATCAAAAAATTATCAATATTTATTCTTTTTCTGTCATCTAAAATGCCATTGCCTAAGTCAAAAGCAGATGCTTTTCTAGAAGTTTAGATTTTCCCTTTAGGAACATGATCAATATTTATGATAATTTTATATGAGTGTGAGAAAAAAATCTTAAACTTATTATTTTGTATTTGAATGCCTAAATGTTAATGTTTTATTTGTTAAAAGGTCACCTTCTACTACAAAATTGATATTAATTATTCCTAAGTATGTACTTATCTTATGTGTGTGCAGTTCTCTTCCACTATTATGTATACTTTTACATTCCCCAACATCAAACGATCTTTAGTGACTACTGTAATATTAGACCTTCAATTCTTTTCTTTCTGAACAATGTAATTTGAATCACTCAAATGTATAACAGCAAAAGCATAGGTTGTAGAAACCTATTATTGGAGAAGTATGACATTTCTGTTAATTAACACACTTCTAATATTTATATTAGGTTTAAAATATCTGTATCATTTTACATTTTGAATATTTTGCTGCTGTGGTCTTTTGCCATGTGACTTCTACATTGTGTTTGGTCATGAATGTAAAATGCTTTTCTGGAATACAATTAGAGACAATTGATACAGAATCATTTAATTTTCCTATTAATGATTATGTTATACCTGTGTACTTAGATCTTTGATTCCTTAAAGCACTATTCCGTTGTGTGCAGCAGAAGGTCCTGTGTTATTCTTTAAATGTTTAGCTAGTACATATTTTTCATATTGAAGCAACTATATCCATCTTAATATTTTTCTTGAGTGAGTTGCATAGTCTATAAACTCCATTAAGTTTTAACTTGTCAAATTAATTGACACTTCAAATGGCCAAAAGACACTTAAGGTCATGCGCAACTTCCTTAGCGATCAGGGAAATGCAAACCAAGACAACTTTAAGATACCATCTTATACCTGTCAGAATGGCTAAAATCAAAAACACCAATGACAGCCATTGTTGGAGAGGTTGTGGAGAAAGGGGTACCCTCATCCATTGCTGGTGGAAATGCAAACTTGTGCAACCACTTTGGAAAGCAGTGTGGCGGTTTCTCACGAAATTCGGGATCAACCTACCCCTGGATCCAGCAATACCACTCTTGGGAATATACCCAAGAGAGGCTTTATCATACAACAAAAGTATATGCTCTACGATGTTCATAGCAGCATTGTTTGTAATAGCCAGAACCTGGAAACAACCTAGATGCCCTTCAATGGAAGAATGGATGAAGAAAGTATGGAATATATACATATTATAGTACTACTCAGCAGTAAAAAACAAGGACTTCTTGAATTTTGCATACAAATGGATGAAAATATTCATCAGTATGGCGATAGGATAGGATCATTTAAGGTTCCCTATCCTCAGCTGCCCCAGGAACTAACTGGGGACCTTGCCTTGGGCACCTGGAAGCCCCTCTAAGTCCAAGTCTCTTGCCAACCCTAAGATGGCTCCCTTAATTAAGATATGTGCTTCCCTGGTCCCCTGTCCAACCTTCCTTTATCCCAATCATACCGTTGCCCCAAGTTCTCCCCATCCTACTCTTCTCACTTTTCTCTCGCCATCTCCCCTTACCTCCCTCCCACCCCACCCTTAAGATCCCGATTTTTGCCTGGCAATCTTATCTACTTCCCATACCCAGGAGGATAGCTATATGTTTTTCTATGGGTTCACCTTCTTATCTAGCTTCTTTAGGATAACAAACTGAACCTGATAGAAGAGAAAGTGGGAAGTACTCTACAACACATGGACACAGGAGACCACTTCCTACGTATAACTCCAGCAGCACAGACATTAAGGGCATCTCTGAATAAATGGGACCTCGTGAGACTGAGAACCTTCTGTAAAGCAGTGTGTCACTAAGACAAAAAGGAAACTGGAAGAAGATCTTCACCATCCCTGCAACTGACAAAGTTCTGATCTCCAAAATGCATAAAGAACTCAAGAAACTTGACTGTAAAAGGCTACTCAACCCAATTATAAATGGGGCACTGAACTGAACAGAGAATTCTCAACAGAAGAAGTTCAAATGGCCAAAAGACACTTAAGGTCATGCTCAACCTCCTTAGCGATCAGGGAAATGCAAATCAAGACAACTCTGAGATACCATCTTACACCTGTCAGAATGGCTAAAATCAAAAACACCAATGATAGCCTTTGCTGGAGAGGTTGTGGAGCAAGGGGTACACTCATCCATTGCTGGTGGGAATGCAAACTTGTGCAAACACTTTGGAAAGCAGTGTGGCGGTTTCTCACGAAATTCGGGATCAACCACCTCTGGACCCAGCAATACCACTCTTGGGAATATACCCAAAAGATGTCCTATCATACAACAAAATATATGCTCAACTATGTTCATAGCAGCATTGTTTGTAATAGCCAGAACCTGGGAACATCCTAGATGCCCTTCAATGGAAGAATGGATGAAGAAAGTATGGAATATATACATATTAGAGTACTACTCAGCAGTAAAAAACAAGGACTTCTTGAATTTTGCATGCAAATGGATGGAAATAGAAAACACTATCCTGAGTGAGGTAAGCCAGACCCAAAAAGAGGAGCATGGGATGTACTCACTCATATTTGGTTTCTAGCCATAAACCAAGGACATTGAGCCTATAATTAGTGATCCTAGAGAAGCTAAATAAGGAGAGCCCAAAGAAAAACATATAGGCATCCTCCTGAATATTAACCTTCATCAGGCGATGAAAGGAGGCAGAGACAGAGACCCACATTGGAGCACCAGACATAAATATCAAGGTCCAAATCAGGAGCAGAAGGAGAGAGAGCACGAGCGAGCAAGGAACTCAGGACAGCGAGGGGTGCACCCACACACTGAGACAATGGAGATGTTCTACTTGGAACTCACCAAGGCCAGCTGGCTTGGGTTTGGAAAAGCCTGGGATAAAACCGGACTCTGAACATAGCGGACAATGAGGACTACTGAGAACTCAAGAATGGGTTTCTGATCCTACTGCATGCACTGGCTTTGTGGGAGCCTAGGCAGTTTGGATGCTCAACTTGCTAGACCTGGATGGAGGTGGGGGTTCCTTGGACTTCCCACAGGACAGGGAACCCTGATTGCTTCTTGGGCTGAGGAGGAGGGGAGACTTATTGGGGGAGGGGGGGGAAATGGGAGGCGGTGGCGGGGAAGAGACAGAAATCTTTAATAAATAAATAAATAAATAAATAAATAAAAATTAATTGACATGAACATCCATAATCTTCTCTGTCTGTTCTTCTAAAAATAGGTTTTAAAAAAGATATATTTCCAGTCATTCCTGATATTGGTGCTGTCTCTACTTTTCTCTGCTAAATCTGTTTAAATGTTATTAATTTAAGAATTTTTGTAGTATCAATGTTTAAAGTTTATTTTATATATGAATGTGTTTGAGTATTACAAACATTATTCCTTTTACTTTTCTGCTTCATTGTTTCAGTTCAGGATGTGACAGCCCCCTACACACAAAAACACATTTCTACTCACTTTAACTTTAATTTCTTCTTTTTCTAATGTGTTAAGAGAATCTGGGGTAGCGGATAGGGGAGACTGTCCTTTTCTATGTGTATGCTCTGTGAAGGCAGCTTCCTCCATGGCCTTTATTGCTGTCCCACAATTTGCTTATGTGGTTTATTCATTGACACATGGGTTAAAAATTGTCAAAGGTTTTCTGGAAATTTTTGTTGGGAAAATAAAATGTTGCCACAGTGTATTTTCACTCACATCCACCACAATCTTTGGAATAAAGAAGCAGTATCTGGTTTAAAACACTTGATGCTAATGAAATCTGCATAAGTGGAAGCTGAATTTGATTGATCACTTTGTTCCCTTTGAAATTTATTTAGACTGGTTTAGGAGCTTTTTCTTTCCAGCTAGTGTGTTCAGAGTATTGATAAACTTCTTCTGGAATTTTACTAAGGTATTTGGATAATCAAATGGAGCTGTTCTACTTTTCCTATTTGAATATCTCACATGGCTGGCATTCTGGGAACCTCTGACCTTAAAATCTGTGGGCGTTTTTCTTCTCCTGTTCTTTTGTCACAGAATCTTGTACTGTGTTGTAGTATGCTGGCATCTGGCCAGAGAAGCTAGAGGATGGTGATGAAGATCTGCTGTTTACTCTTTTCTGCTTTTTTACATCACAGGTCCAGAGGCTTCAATTAATTTGAAAAGACTGATTTTTGGTTCTGAAAATCAGTAAAATACCCATTTTTTTAAAGTTTTTTATTGCTTTTTTTTTGAAGGTCAGAATCTTTCTCACTGCTATTTTTTGAAAAATTCCTCCATACGTACAGCCCTTGATAATGATAATAGAACTCATTAATCTATTGCTACTCTGAAATTCTAATCTTGTGTTCTTTTTCTCCTACTAGCAGCCATTGGTAATTTTCAAGATATTTCTCTGTTCCCTTCTTGTTTGTAGCTGGCACTCTGTTGTTCTTTTCTTTACAATTTTATTACATTCCTCTAAAAAATCACAACTTCATTACCTTTTCCTCATTTGTCTTCTACATGAACACTGTTCACTTTTTTCAGTTTCTTCAATTTGTGCTTTATTAGTATTTATTTACTTTTCCAAGTTAACGATGTGAAAATACTTATTCCTTACTGGATTTTATATTTTAATATTTTCTAGTTGTTTGATGAAGTTTCTGCTTCTTCACTATTTATTGATACCTCCCAATATATTAGCTAATGTTTTAATTGTCATTTACAAAAAATATTTAAAATTTTCTTCTTTGATTTCATACTTATCCGTATAGAAGCAAATATGTGTACTGGGAAGATATCTAGTAACTGGAAATATACTTTTATAGTATCTTATTAAATTATTTTTTTCATTGAATATATTTTTACCTGGTACATTTCACAATGAAATATTCAGCTGAAAAGAAATGTGGAATTAAAATATTTACTTTTACACCTTCAAGTTCAGTCATTTAAGACTTGAGGAGACAAATCTCTTGTTGTGAGAAGAGTAAATAATTTTGTTCCTCACGATATTCTTCAGATATTGACTCCATTGTATTTTAGACATGAAGTTACAAAAGTATTTCAAATTTTTGGCATTGAAATCTGTAGCAACTGTGTAGATCAATTTTCCAGTGTTATCATTCAACCTCAGGAACCCTAGTTGGGATAAGGTTAAGTCCCTAAGAGAGCTAACTATTCTCAAGTTTAAAGAAAGTACAAGAAAAAAATATTGTACAGAGCTCTGACTTTCTGTAGGACTGTGGATTTCCTTGGACAAAAACTTTTAACACATTTTGTTTTTAGGTGGAATTATGAGTGATTTAAATACCTATTTTAGAGACGCTTCAAACAAGATATTTCGTATCTTCGAATCTTCTGGCTTCAGCAATGTGAATGATTTTGATTTCAAGTCTTCATGTATAAGTGAGTAATGACTATTTTAATATATTTTTGTATTGTAAACCCTTAAGTTACTGAGAACACACTTGACTTTTTCTTACTTCTTTCCTTTTTAGAAAAATGTTTAAAGTCAAATATAGAAATTCAGAATGGATTTCTTTCTGAATCTGATCTTACATATGACATAAATAGAAAAACACAGTTTAGGTGCAAACAGGGGTATGTAACAGCAAATGGAGAGACATCAGGAACGGTTACGTGCCTCCAAAATGGATGGTCAGCTCAACCCGCATGCTTTAGTGAGTACCCCATTATATTGCTGTCATTATACTAGAGATATATGAGTTTAACTTTATTATTTATTGAGGTAACTGATGTTATTTTATTTGAAAGTTGAATTTTAAACTTCAAGAAAATTATTTTACTATTTGCTTTTCTTTTTGGACTCATTCTTGCATTTTCAGCTCATTTTCCTTTCCATTGCTTTACATACCCTCTAGTTTTAAATATAGTAAAGGATGCTTTGACCAGCTGCCTTGTTAAAGATGTTCTGCCTTCCTTATCAAAGCCATTGCTCCTAGATATAAAGGTAAAGTTTTAGGTGAAGATATATATCTGTATTTTAAATTTCAGAATATGTGATAACCATATATGTATTTGATTCTATCAATTAAAGTTCATTTCAGAAAGTCTCCATCTTAAAAATACTTTCCAAATTTCTCAATATTGGAAAGAAAGAAATGTTTCCATGTGGAAGCAATTTTGGCATTTTAAGACTTACAGTTAATGAAGTTTTTTTTTTTTTTTACTAATAATTAGTTCAGTTTGTTTTACTCATCAGAAAGCTAGCCAGTGCTCTTTTTTTCAAGAACTATTCAACATAACTTAAATGATAAAGTGATTTAAGATTCTTTCTGCTTTCTTAATTTCAAGTTTTCACTTATTGTACTTTTACAGAATCTATTTAAAGAAAAACTATTAAATTTTGCCCATGTACTCATATATATTAAATTATAATTAACAAGTCTTTTTGGATTTTCTTATTATAAAAGAAAAAAACTTTGATACAGTACAGAAAAGGCACCTTTTTCAAATTTAACTAATCTACTTTTCTAAACTAGGTTGCATATAAACTACTAAATATGGGACTTTATTTGCAAAATGCTATCACACTTCCCTAAAACTAAATACATCTGCTCTTATCTATTTATTTCCAGTATGTGATAAATACAATAAAAATTAGCTGAAAAAATTATTTTTAAAGTAAAGTTTTATGAAACTTAACTGAGGAAGTAAATGGGAATAGTGATGTACTTTTTATTTAATAACTCTTTCAAGAAAATGATTTCTTGTTGGTCTTCTAAGGGTATTTTTATACAGTATTTAATTGCTATCATAGATTAACCTGGGACTACTATAGCTCTCATGAGAATTGCTCAGTTTGTTCATTAACACTGAAAAATGAAATCTTCCATTTTATTTTGTATTAGAGTTTTGTGATAGACCTGTATTTGAGAATGCTGGGACTAAAAATAATAGCATATGGTTTAAGCTCAATGACAAATTAGACTATGAATGCCATGTTGGATATGAAAACAGACATAAAGATACCAAAGGCTCCATAATATGTAATTATGACGGATGGTCTGATAGGCCCTCATGTTTTGGTGAGTACTATTGTCTCTAAATTTTTTTACAAAACAAAATTATTTATGTGTTATATAAAAAATTAACTTCCTAGAATATTCCGTCCAAATTAATGTAAACTAGGAGAAAGGACGTTTTTGATTTTTTTTTTTCTTTTTCTTCAAGACAGGGTTTCTCTGTAGCTTTGAGCCTGTCCTCAAACTAGCTCTTTAGACCAGGCTGGCCTCAAACTCACAAAGATCTGCCTGCCTCTGCCTCCTGAGTACTGGGATTAAAGGCATGTGCCACCACGGCCTGACAGATGATCATATTTGTATTTATTATTTCATTGCATTCAATTATGTTTCCTCTATGTGCACAGTGAGTGCATGTGCATGTCTGTGGACGTGTGCATACCACGTTACACATAAAGGTATCAGAGAACTTGTGAGTCAGCTCTTTCTTTTCATCATGTGAATTTCAGGGATTGAACTCCTGTCACCAAGCTGGGAGGCAGGCCCTCTCACTGACTGAGCCTTCTCAGCAGCCTTTTAATCTGTTTTTAAAATAATGTATTCATCAGGTATAGATATCTCATTCTTGTGATTCTTATGACTCTGGAAGAGGTTTTAAGTTGGAGGACATGTTGGACATATTGAGTTGTGTTAAACACACAATAAACAAAATTAATAATATTAAATTAATAATTCCTTTATATGGCATGTGTATACCAAGTATCTCTGATTAAAGTATAATTGTTTCATTATCATAAAGGCATGCTCTTAGTTATTTAAATTAGTTCTCCACTATCAAAATTATAATTTGAAGTATGACATATCATGCAAATTTGAAAAGTAGAAAGGGAAGAGATGGACAATTTGGAAGAGAAAAAAATTGAAAGTGAAAGGAAAAGTATTGATTCAGGACACAGGACCACCTCTGGAAAGAGAGGAGACAGACAAGGCACATAGGAAAATGTGGTTTATAAAAGTACTAGGGGAACCCCGTGTTAGGATTGTTTGGTCTGAGGAAACACTGAAGGAGACCCCAGACTTGAGTAGTAGGCAAGAGCAAAAGCATTTATTAATATTTCAGCATGCATGTGGAGCCATTCACCTATACAAAATGGTGGCAATCCTGAGAGGAACATGCCGGGTCATTTTAAGAATAGATAGAGGAACTTCAGAGATGGTTTAGTCATCTCAGACATAATTGATTAATCAAGCAGCTGTTACATTAGTGTATTTTCAATTAGCTGAGGTTTTATCTTTGGACATACTTGGGAAATTATAGGGTCTGAAAGAAGCCCCCAAAGAAGACCAACAGCCACAAATGCAATAACAAGAGTGTTATGCCCAATTTGAGACCCCCAAAGAGACACCACCGGAATCCAGTTAAATCCAGAATGCAAAGCAAGGTTTATTCTTTCCAGCTAACCGGGATCTGTCCAGTAGTGCAGTAGGGAGAGCTCCCATTTCTCATTTGGGGTTGACACATATTGTGTCAAGGGGGTTGGTCTTGCTAAACCAAGGATGTGGGCTACTTCTGCATACCCCCTTCCTCCTTTAAAGGCTTCTTCTGCTTCTGTGCATGCCACCCACCCTCTACCCCCAGCTATTACTCCTGCTTCTGTCTAGACCTCAAAGCTGGATGTTGACAGGTGGCTAGCTGCTAGGAACATTTTTGCAGAGGTACCTGTTTTCAACTATCTCTTGATGTTTCAAAATTTCTTGAACCCAATGTCTTAACCAACTACTGATTGATCAAAGTCTCTTAAAATTTTCCATGTCCTTACATTTCCCCCTTCTCTTGTAACTTGGGGGACCAATTTTGGTTCCCCTTAGGGCCAAGCAGGGGCAACATACCTTTCTTCCCTGATATTGAAAGGGTCGAGAGGGCAATTTACGATGCATGGTCCAAAAGTTAACAGTAGCATGAGTATTATTATGAGCTCCATTAGCCCAGCTATCAACATTGTTAGCCAGGGGGACTATGAAAACCAGGACTCAAACCATCCTTGGGAAGGGTCTAATTTTTTCTCTGCTTAGCCAATCTTTTCCTAACTTTGACCAAATTATCTCTTATAATTTCTGAATAGTAAATGTAAAAACAGAATTTCTCTCCAAAAACTGCAGAGTCTTTCTATGTAAGGAAGTTCCCTTTTGACTTAGTGTCTCAACCAGGGATTATAGGACAATGTATTCTTTTAACTGTTTCCAGTTAAAAGTTGGGGCATCAATGTCAAGAGTTAACAGAGGGGAAATGCTAGTCAAAAACAAAGAGAAAATTTAGGCAATGGGGTATTTATTAGGAGCATCTGGTTTGTGAACTGTTGAAGACCCAGGAAGCATTCACACAGGCCAAAATAGTCCATATCAGTTTTCAGCAAGTCCAGGGTCCACAGTCATTTGGAGCAGACTGTAGTCAGTAATTAATGCTTGGTTGTATCTATCAACCAAGGGGAAACGTGTCGAGACAAATTCAAACTAGGAACAGAAGTTTAATACATTTGAAACTTTTAGGCCCATATTAAAATTTATATTATAGGGAAAAAACAAATAACAGATATAAAACAGCAAAAATAGACTCATACCTTTGAGATCTAGCAAAAACTTAGATTTGGGTTATAAGTGCGTAGACAACTAAAAGAAATTTAAAATTTTGAACTTGTGATCCAAACAGTAAGAAGTCATATTTTAATTAATTTATGTCTTAAAATTTGATGCTGCCAAATTAACAAAGCTATAGCTAGCCCAGCCATAAATACTGTCAGAGATCTCAGAAGGATAAATAAATTATATTTAAATACAGACCAAACAGCTTTCAAAACTATTGAAAAAAGACAGAGATCAGACCATGTGCAGTCATACCCAGGTCTCCATAGCACTGAAGGCTATTGAAGTACCAGAACAACAGCTTTACCAGGCCCATAAGATGAGAGGTTCCTGTTGAAGAGGGACATGGAAAAGACTGACCTTATTTTGTCTAGGTAAAAGTGGTTCAATCAATTCTCCAGTGTCCATAGTCTGGGCTGGATCCTGGCAGCAGGTGGTGCATTGGGGCATCTTGTCCAGTGATCAGTGTCATCATTATCCAGGTACAGCCATTGTGGTGCCTCATAATCTTCTCTGGAGACTTTGGGTCATTGCTAGGATCTGGGAGTCTCTGTCTGAAATAAGCTTTTAAATCACTATTTTAAATGTCTTATTTCATAGATCTCTGAAGTATTTAGGGCTTCCCAGGTATATCTGATCAGACAAACTTTACTATTAATTACTTGTTTTAAGCTTGACTTTAAAAACATATACAGGGGACTAAATAAGGCATATCTCTGTAATTATATCAGTAATTTAAGGTTAACTGATTCATAACTTGTATTTCTAACAGTCTTTGCATCTTTAATAAGGCCAGGACTTTATATCATATGTTATCAGATTTAACCTTTAAATAAATGATTTTACATTGAAGCTAATAAAGAAACCAAATTAGCCTTTCTGAGTGTAAAAAAAAACAGAACAAATTTGTATTATATTGCCATATATTAATGGAAGAGCCATTAGTTCCTTTTAGTATATAACATTCAGTTTATCCAAATAGCTTAAACTTAACAAAGTTAGCAAAGATAATAAGGCTAAAATCTAACATTAACAATATAAAAACTTTTGCAAGCACATATGTCTCATAATCAATTTTATTTTATTGTAGCTGACACTTCTGGTGACTATATCCTGGCATTGGTGTTTCTAAAACTGTTAAGGTCCATCCTTGCAACTGTTCTTTCTTTGGGACTCTAGTCTCAGTTGTTCTCAGTGATCCCTTTTAGTCCTTTATCTGAGTGACTCTTGAATTACAAGGTTTAACTGACAGAGCAAAGTACATTCTTGTGTATAAAAGCATCGAGGTGCAGCTTTTCAAAAAAGAACAGCATAAAACAGTTTTAACATTATCTATATCAAAAAGACATCCAAATTCCTGCTAACCTGTACCTAGTGACCAGAGAGCTCAGAGAACAAGTACAATACTTTCAATTACCATAGGCAAACTTTTCAACAAAACAAGCCTACACAATTTTCTCAAGATATTGACATGAGCCTTTATTTTATTTTTTATTATTATTAAAAATTTCTACCTCCTCCCCTCCTCCCATTCCCTCCCCCTCCCCTCAATATCTCTCCCTCTCCCTCTCTCTCTAGTCCAGAGAGCAGTCAGGGTTTCCTGACCTGTGGGAAGTCCAAGGCCCTCCCCCCTCCATCCAGGTCTAGTAAGGTGAGCATCCAAACAGACTAGGCTCCCACAAAGCCAGTACATGCAGTAGGATCAAAACCCAGTGCCATTGTCCTTGACTTCTCAGTCAGTCCTCATTGTCAGTCACCTTCAGAGAGTCCGGTTTGATCACATGCTCCATCTGGCCTTGATGAGCTCCCATTAGATCAGCCCCATCTTCTCAGTGGGTGGACGCACCCTTCGCAGTCCTGACTTCCTTGCTCATATTCTCCCTCCTTCTGCTCCTCATTTGGACCTCGGTAGCTCAGTCCAGTGCTCCAAAGTGGGTCCTTGTCTCTATCTCCATCCATCGCCAGATGAAGGTTCTATGGTGATATGCAAGATATTCATCAGTATGGCTATAGGCTAGGGCCATTTCAGGTGCCCTCTCCTCAGCTTCCCAAGGAACTAGCTGGGGACATCTCCATGGACACCTGGGAACACCTCTGGAGTCAAGTCTCTTGCCAACCCTAAAATGGCTCCCTTACTTAAGATATATACTTCCCTGCTCCCGTATCCAACCTTCCTCCATCCCAACCATTCTCATTCCCCCAAGTTCTCCCCATCCTCCCCTTCTCACTTTTCTCTCCCCATCTACCCTTACCCCCACTCCACCCCCGCCCCCAAGCTCCCAGATTTTGCCTGGCAATCTTGACATGACCCTTTTACAAGACTTTTTAAAGCCATAACTAATCTAGTATGTTAAACATTTAGCTTATTTTGATGTCTTCCTTTTTAAATTTAGTATTTGTAGGTATGAGAAACTATGATAAAACAT